TCACTTTTCCTTTCACTTATTCATCAACTGCCCTATTAACTAGCTCTTGCATTCACTCGCTCGCTCACTCACTTGTTCACTTATTCACTCTGTCTCTCATTCATTCACTTGCTCTCTCACTCATTCGCTCACTATTCTTCCTCTGCTTGGGTCCCTTTTTCGTTTGTTTTTGTTGTTTTTCTGTGCAGTAACTACAACGGTAGCAAACTGCTCAGTGTGCACAGGGGGCTGTAAACACATACGTTTTTAATGGTGTTTTGATTTTGAGTGATGACAGAATTTCAAAAGACAATTTTTTTTCTGTTTCAAGCTGTGAAAACTGATCCACAGTTCAGTGCACATATATCGCCGCTGTGCTAACTGTGTAAGTGTTCTGAGAAAGTGCAGTTAACACCACCTGTGTGCCAGTGGTCTCAAAAGGTATCAGGATAATTAATCAAGGCCTCATCCTCTTTCTCGGTTTCCCGGGAATGTACCGGCTTCTGTCCACACATTATCAATTATCAGCCCTCCTGATAATTTCTCGGGAGCTGTGCTTGGTTTCGTGCCTGTTGATTGCCAAGTGAGTCTTACTGGGATCTAGACTCTCTCGTGTTCGTGTTTAACCCTTTTTCACAGGAGCCATAAACTGCATTTCTGCCTGTTTTGGATGAGGTCTTTCAGCTGACCTGTGCACTTTTTCCTTACGGTGTCATCAAGGCTGCCGGAACCACGGTGGTGAGAGGACATTTGCCCCACCACTTTTCAAAGTACTGTGGTGACACCCACCATTTTTTGAGTTCAGGATGCAAACAGAAAACCTCCACTTTCCCAAAACTGCATGAAGCACTGACCAGCACGAACAGGCAGAGTAAAACTGAGCAGCAGAGCCAATCAGAATCTCCATTTCAGGCGCTTTCAGACCTGCCTTGGTTGGTGCGGACCTGTCAAACTTTTTCTGTAGTTCGGTTTTGATGTGCGAAAATCCACCCATATTCAGGCAGCACCAAACAGCTGAACCGGGATAATTCACGAGGGAATTCAACACGATTTTTCCAGTGCACATTTTCACTGTACCGTCTGCACTGTACTGTTTGCTTATTGATCAGAAGTTTTGCAGGAATGCAAGTGATCGTTCCTGCACTGTGAGCTGCTGTAAATAACAAAAAATTAATTTGGTATTCACAAAAGTAATAATCGTCTCTATTTTCTGTTTTTCTGTGTTCATGGTGGTGAAAATGAGAGTAACAGAGCGCTTGCATCCCTGCAAAACGTCTGATCAACAAGCAAACACCCACGTGTGTCATTTGGTCCACTTTAGCCCGTGCAGTCCACCATCTGAACCAAAAAGATAAAACATCACAACACCGAACTGTGGTGTGGTCTTTAGAAAATGAACTGGATATGAAAACAGCCTGATGTTCTTCAGAGATGTTAGCTAAGAAATGCTGCTATCTGAGGCTGCAGCTACTGAAGCAGCATCAAAACTAACACTGACACGGTTCATGATCAGGTTCAGAGGAGGGTAGAAGACCCTAAATCAGTACTTAAGTTAAAGTATTGATACTTGAATAAAATAATTAAGTAAATGTTCCCTCCCTCAAAACAACTTAATACAAATACAAAAGAAGCAGGTCAGAAATCTACTTAAGTACTGAGTTCTGCAGTGGAATCTCTTAGTACATCCAGCATTTATCAGCACAGGAACTGAAGATTGTGCACGTCTATTCTTTTCTTTATGGATTTTTTTTGGTCTGAAATTCAAAGCTCCAAAGTCAGAGATGCAACCAATCACAAAGCAGTACAAATATTGCCACCATCAAATCTTATTAAAATTAAACACAAAAAATTGCATTAGTAACTAAAACTAAAACTATCCAAGACAATTTCCATCCCGCCACTAGAGAGGCCTGCAGAAAGAGGCGAACCCCTTCCTAATTACCATAACAACAGCTGTATGTAAACAAAGCTGCAGTGGTTGCAGTTTTTCACTGGCCTTTACCTGGCTGATCTAAGACCAGCTCAACTTAGCCACAAAAAACGAGAGCAAAACTGACCTCTGAGCTCTGTGCTTGTTTGTTCAGTGTTTAGAGTTAAAAACGAGGCTTACAGGTCCCGAACCGATAAGACTTAAGTGAGTTTAAGATAATCAGTCTGATGGTTATTTATGCAGCACATTGTGTAGACATTATTGTAATTTAAAGTGTTTTACAGACTGACATGGTTCAGATAAAGTCAGAAAAGCTAAGAGAATAAAGAGAGCAGTTCACCAGTGCATGATCATGAGTGATTCATTCAGACGTTTATGTTAATATTAAGCTGATGTGATAAAGCCTAAGTGGCCATTCAATCAGTGACTAATGATTTATCACACTGTTACTGCTCTCGCTGTGTAGGCATTTATTTTAATAGCACTATAATTACCTGACCTTTATCACGCTTCATGATATTATCACATGGACAAGCATGCAGTGTTCTGAGTGTCATTTTAAATGGTAATGATGTGTTTGTAGTTATACATTTTGGGGATTTCTGTCTTTCAGAGTCTGAAAAGCTAGCTTTTAAAAGGGGAATTCCACTGATATTCCAAAATTTCTGCATAGTTAAGATGTTAACAGAGTCATTCAGAGTGGTTTGGTGTGAAATGCTCTATTCTAGAGAAACTTACCGAGTCAGAATCGTTCACAGTGGTGGTGATAGGAACCAGACGTCCGCCTCTAAAAGCTCCATCAAGGAAAGTTATTATGTGAAATAGTTATGAATTCACTGCCTGTTGTCAGAGACATTGTTTTACAATAGATTTGTGCAAACATATCCCTTCATCCAGCTATAAATCATGAAAATCAATGGAGATAACCTGGTTTTGATTCATGCTTTTCCCTTAAAGATGCAGTCGTGTGCAAACGTTTTTATACCCCTGCTCAAATTACATTTTTGTTCGTTTTCTAAGTGAAAGTATGTTAACACATTGTGGCATGCGCTTGTCCCCCGGGGCCCCGATGACGGGTGCGAGAGCCAGCAGGAAGGCGGGCCCGAACCCTGAGACGAGAACCCGCAAGTAAATGGGGGGTGGTGCACGAGTCCTGAGCCCCACTTCCTGGGCGCCAGCATTAGAAACTAAATCTAGATTAATTAAGAATTAAGTGTCTGAGGATTATAACAAAACAAATTTGGTGAAAATCGGTTGAGTATTAAGGAAGTTGTGGCCGATTTAATCCTGAGACTCATCGTCAAGATCCGCTTGTGAACTTGTTCACAAGCGGATCTTGACCTCCCCAACATGGCGGATGTGCAGACGTATCGCCTCAGATAGAGAACAACAGACAACGCAGCATCTAGGTATGAATATCTATGGCTGATGTCTGTCACTCTGCTGGTCCACAGAGCAGCAGGAGTGTCTGCACCAGCTGGTTCATGAGCGTCTGGGTGAGCTGCTGCGGGTGCTGAAGAGTGTGATCGGGAAACATCCCACCCTCAACTCGGTGGACATCCTCAGCGCGGCCGGGACCCTCATCGCCAAGGTCAAAGGTCAGACGCCCTCAAAGACGAGGGTTCTCTCTTCATCTATTTCTCCTTTTCTTTATGATTCTCTCTCTATTTCTCTATTTCTCTTTGTGCTTCTCTCTCTCTCTCTTTTCTTCACTTTCTCTTTCCCTCTCACTCTCCCTCTCCATCTTTCTTTGCTTCCCTCTTTCCCTCTCCAAGCCTTTCTCTCTCTCTCTCTCTCTGCTTATTACTCCTGTGCTCTCTCGCTCTTTTACTCTTTTTCCTTTCTCCCTCTCCTTCCATTTTTCCCTTTTCTCTCTTAATGCCTTTCGCTCTGTCTCTCACACACTCTCTTGCTTTCTCTTTTCTTTAAGCTTTCTTCTCTCTCTCTCTCTCTCTCTCTCTCTCTCTCTCTCTCTCTCTCTCTCTCTCTTTTCTCTCATTCTCTTTCTCTGTCTCTCTCTCCTGGTCTCCTCCTGTTAATGTCTCTCTCTCTCTCTCTGTTTCTTTCTCTCTCACTCTTTGTCTTTTCCTCTTTGCGCTCTCTCTCTCTCTCTCTCTCTCTCTCTCGCTCTCTCTCTCTCTCTCTCCCTCCCCCTCTCTCTCTCTCTCTCTCTGAGCGGTGTTCACTGTGTTGAAATGTCACTCGTCCACAGGTTAGTAATGCTATACCTGCTGTTGTCACTGAGCTGGTTAACTGGCTCCACAGCTCATTCATGCTCTGTGTTTACGCTGCGCTGTGCTGATTGGAGGTGAATGTGAAAGCTCTGGGGTTTGTCCGGCCTTTTTGTCCGGCCGCTGTTAGCCGTAGTTTCCGGAGCGTCGCGCTGGGGGACGGAGCGGAGGAATCCTCTTTCACTCCCGCAGATTAGCATCTCTCACGCAGAGCGATTCCTCTGCTGGCTGGAGAACAAGAATGTGAGAAGAAACATTCAGAACCCCAGCGCGCTGCTTATGGACGTCTCTGCCAAACTTAAATACGGATCGAGTTTCTTTTGTTAGGAAACCAAATATTGACCACTTATTTTAAACAGACCATTCAAAGATGATCATTTTCTTTTTGGCAAAGCATGAGAGCTGCACAATATTAAAAATAAATAATAATAATAATAATAATAATGTTTATATAGTGCCTTTATCAAACCCAAGGATGCTTTACAAAAAATAACAAAATACATAATCAAAAATAAATAAAACAACACAGAACGCGCACACACACACACACACACACACACACACACACACACACACACACACATACCCACACAACTCTACGGTTCCCACAGCTAGCGAGGGTGGATTTCACTGACCACAGTATAGAGTCACTCAGCCTGGAAAGAGTCCTTATCCGCAGAAGAACATCTCACTTTATAGCTACAGTGCATCACACAGGCAGCCAGCCTGAGAAGCCTCGAAGGCCGAAAATGTCCTTAGCCACAAAGGGGTAGCATTTTCCTGCAGCTACACACCACCAGTCCAGGCAGCCCCACAGCTGCTGTGCAGCGTCGCTTGGGCAGCCGGCCCGAGAGGCCTCGCAGCTGCAGCGTAGCGCTGCTCATACAGCCGAACACTACCGGTCCAGGCAGCCCCACAGCTGCAGTGCAGCGGCAACCAAGCAGTCGGCCAAGGCAGCCACGTATCTGCGATGTCACGTCGATCAGGTCTCTGGTCCAGGCAGCCTCATAGCCATAATACAGCGTCACTGAAGCGGACGATCCAGGCTGCATCATAGCTGTGATGTAGCGTCACCCAACAAGTCTCTGAGCCGCAGTTGGAAAATCTCTCCTGGATGCTATTTCAGTGCATATGAGGGCAAACTCCTCAGCCAGCAGGGAAACAGCAAAACATACACACAAACAAAACAAAACAAAGCGAAAAACCGATGTAAAGCGGCAGCCATAGTGCACCAGTGGACTTAGAACGGAACAAACACGCAATATGGACATTAAATATGATGTTTGATAAAGCTGTTGGATATCACGATGACAAAATGATAAGCCTTAAATTATGAAGTCATTTCCTATAAGGTCCAGCTCCTTTTTTCTGGACAGAAATCTAAAAACTCTTCTCAAATCTTTTTAAGCAAAAAAAGCAACATTTCTCTACTGCGCAAAATAAAAATAATCAAATATTAATAGCTACTCTCTCTCTCTCTCTCTCTCTCTCTCTCTCTCTCTCTCTCTCTCTCTCTCTCTCAGATCATCAGTTTAAAATAAATATACATAAATGAATCAAATTTGAGGTAGTATTACTTTTGCAGAGTTGAGATCTTAAAAGTGAATTAAAAGGCATTAATTTTCATTTAAAAAATTGGTCAGTGAGGTTATTAAGGTCAGGGTCAGTATAGTAATGTTAAGTCAGTGCAGTAATACAAAGGTATTACTGCTCTTTCTCTCTGGTCAGTTTGAGAGTTTGTTGTTGCCTCTGTTGAGGTGTATGTAGGGTCAGATGGGTCACAGTGCTGCCGTTGACCCTCAGCATGAATCCGTATTGATTTGCTTTGGCCCTGTTTTGACAGTTGGCCCTGAATGCGTCATGTGACATCCCTGTGTAAACCTGCTTTCCTCTGCGACTGGCCACCTCTGGCATGGTATAATATTAACATGCAGAACTGGACAAACAAACAAACAGAACCTTCAGAGACTCAGTCTGTCCATCTTTTCTCTCTCGCCCTCTTTGTTCTTGCATAGCTTGAACAAACCTGTTATCAGTCTAATAAGAGAAATTTATGCCCATATATTTTGTTTGTTTATTTTTTGCACCTTTTATAACCGCCAGGTGTTCTTTACATCATGTGAACATTTCATTTAAATGTACCAAAAGAATTTTTGGAGAGTTTTTTTTTCCATTTAAAAGATTTTAAGTTCTTTTGTTCATGACAGTAATCTCTACTTCAAAATATTTTCCAAATCTTGCCACCAGAGGGCTGAAGTTCAGTCTTGACCACACATGCCGTAACCACATGCCTCGCTGACTCACTCACTTGTACACATAAGCACACACAACCTACTGAAGAAGTAGACTTTAGGAGATTACAATCAGTGAAGGTCCAGATCGGACTACCTGAGGTGAGATATGGAGCTCTGGCTGCGTCTGAGACCCTATTTCCAGTCAAAACAACCACTGAATACTTTAAGTACGTCATTCATTTTTTCAGCAGATGTTTTTGAAGAGATTAGATATGAAATACTCCACTGAAGTTTCCAAAACTGAAGTTCAAAAACTGATTAAAAGCCACAGAGAAAATGGGACTCCTAACAACCACCTGGAAGACCTGTTAGACACCAAAACTGCCCCCATCAGATAAACAGCACTTAAAGCTTTCATCTCTGAGAGAGAGGAGAAAATCAAGCTGCTTCAGATCTGAAAACATCCACAGGTGTTTCTGTCCATCCTTCCACTGTGAGAAGACGACTCAGCGCTGTGGGTCTGAAAGGATGTGTAGCTGATCAAGAAGAACCTCACTGAGAAAAGGAGACGGACACATCAAACAAAGAAGCTGAACGATGGACTGACCACCCCAGAGTCCAGACCTCAACGCCACTGAATGTGTTTGATTACTTCAGAAAATGATTGACCAGCGTCTAAGACTGAACTTTGGAGGTGTGTCTGCAGATTCTTTGAGGAACTGAAAGTGAGTCTCCTGAGGAGAACGGAAGCTGGAATAAAGGTAAAGAGTGTGTTTGTATTTGTATTGTACTTGCATTTAATGGCCGTTTTGTCCAGATGACTCAGGTGTTGTTAGAGGTTGGAAAACACTAAAGTGGTCAGAGTGATGACCAGAAATTAGGAAACACCTGGTGATGGGATGCTGACCTTGCTGGCCAGGATTGTGAAAAAGGACAGGAGGCCATCAGTCGAGTAGGAGGTCAAGTCGGCCTGCCTTTATGGTTCTTCAGAGGAGTGGAGACAGCACATAGGGTTCTGGACCCAGACCTCTGATGGTGAAACATTTTCGCTGATGTTGACATACCTCACACACCCTGCCCTCAACCATCTCCGCACACAGCACCGCCTTCTGTGGAAATAAACCACCTCTTCTGTTTTCTTGAATGTGGGCCAGGGTGGGAATTTTCCTCTCTCCTTCGCTCTGCGTTCTCATCCCTTTGCTCTTCTTGGCTTCATTACAAAAGGCCGGAGCGCTCTCATGCTCTGGGATGGAAGTGTTGAGTTTCAGAAGTAGGGGGCAGTTCCTGTGCTGGTGATGTGGGATCCCTCGGGAGTGGTCAGCAGAAGGAGTGGAGGACATTTATATTTACATGTATTCATTTAGGAGATGTTTTGATGTAGAGCGACTTGCAAAACATGCAAACAGTGGAAGCAAAGGCCCAATCCTGTTTCACCCCTCGCCCCTACCACTCGCCCTACCCCTCCGTTTTGTGTGGTCACATCTAGGAGTAGGGTGTCCCCAGATTTGTTGAGATAGAGGGGTAGGGCGAAGTGTTAGGGCTACATGACCCTCCAAACGGAGGTTTTATAGATACACTCCAAACAGAGTGTTATGAGAAAAAAAGAAAACCAGCAAGACGGCTGAGCAAGAGACCAAAGAAACCCACCAATGAATTTTCTCAGTTAAAAAAATTACGATGACCACTGTATTATCTCAGTTTAATGTCGTTTCAGTGTATTATGCTCCTTTTCTTCATAACAAGCATAAAAAATCACTAGTACTATGCTGATGTCTCATTAGCTAGCAAGCTAAATTTCCTGTTCCACCTTAAATGGTGCAGCAGTTACTTTCTGGCACCTAAGGCACCAGAATAGCTGCTCCATTTAAGATGGAACAGGAAAATTCGAACAAGAAGCTGGTGAATATCTGACTTCAGCTTCATATCACTGAAGAATTAGGAGTGGGTGATAATAAATAATTGCCCCCCCTCTTTGGAGGCATATGAAGCCCTAAATGTAACTAAAGCCCAGCAGTGAGGAGCTGAACTTTACCCTCCTCTGCTGTCACTGCAGACTGGCAGGGTCGCCTACAGAGCAGCGCTAGTAGCTGTTAATGAAGTGATGCTCTTTTTATTTGAGGGTCCCATTTCAGAGGGGAGATTTCAACCATTATCTCTTGTAACTCGATTCCAAGGGGCAAGGTGACACTCGAAAACAAGGGGTAGGGGTAAAAATAAGAAATGGGATTGGGCCTTAGCATCTATAGACCACAAGAATCTAGAACCTAAGAGACAAATGTAGATATTGCGGAGAATAAAGTGTGGCTTGTTTTTCTAAATAAGGGAACAATAAAACAGAAAAACAGAGGTTTAAAAGGCAGAAGATTGAAGAGAAATGATGCAGTGGTTCAGAAATGAAGGCGGAATGATTGCAGTAGGGTGTTTACCAAGGTATAACCTGAGAGGACTTCAGACCGGTGAAAGAAACCGAAAGACTGCAGTGTGGAGTTTAGGGCGAAGTTCGTTCCACCACTGAGAGGCAAGAACCTTCCAGGCATGCTTATGTTTGAGGGAAGGACATGCCAGACGACCTAAGCTTGTCTGCAGGTGTGTAGATCTAAACCACGGTGAGCTCAGCTCTTTGAAGCCTGGAATGTGAGAACCAGAGCTTTATATCTCATTCTTGCTTCCATAGGAAGCCAGTGGAGTGATCTCAGCACAGGAGCCACATGGGGGAACTCTATGAGGTTGTGGACCAGACGGGCTCAGGGACGCCAGAAGGTGTTTTAAGTTGGGGATGCTGAAAGTTTAAGCAGCGCAAATGTGGCGTGAATAATCATCCGAATTTATTTGCCTTTTTTCTATTAGAATTTTTTGATTCTTTACCAGCAGATATGAACATTAACCATTGTGGTCTAATCACTGAGTCTGTATGCACCAGCTCCTCCAGTGGGTATCCTGATATGAAGGGTATTAATAGTGAGTTTGTCCTCCTTTGCTGCAGTAACAGCCTCTACTCTTCTGAGAAGGCTTTACACTAGATGTTGGAACATTGCTGTGAGGATCTGACTGAGCATTAGTGAGGTCAGGTACTGATGTTCAGTTCCGGAGCACTCCAGCTCATCCCAAAGGAATTAGATGGAGCTCCATCACTCCAGAGAACACAGTTCCACTGCTCCACAGCCCAGTGCTGGGGGCTTTATACACTGCTGACGTACAGCTCAGGCCTGATCCCTATTCACGCTGCTTACTGGCAGCAGCCATAGTTTAAAGCAGGCACATCTAACTCTAACACTGGAGGTCCACAGCACCACACAGTTCAGTGTTTCTATCCACTCTGATGCATCTGATTCAACTTATTCAGCCCATGTTCAAGCCATTCATTAGCTGTATCATGGGTGAACGTCCTACTGTACTTCACACTGTTGAACATGGAAGGCTTATGAGATGCCTTCTGCCTCTCACCCCAGCATGGACCCCAAAAACGTTGGGATCCATCAGTCTCTGTTTGGACAGCCCGTTTCCTGCGGCCAACCGGCGGATTGATTAGCAGGCCGGACTCTAGTACGTTTCCCAGAGAGTAGAGGAGAAGAAAAAAGGAAAACAATGACATTTTTACATGATGATGTAATTTCCACGGTTGGACTGTGAGTGAGTAGTTGGAGAAGGCTGCCATTGTGTTCTTGTGAGCTTCAGGATGTCCTGTTGGGGGCAGGGGGGGGTGGTTATTGGAAAGGGGACGTGACTGCCAACCATAGCTTCACAAACAAAGGTAGTTGAAGCTTCAGGGACAACTGGATTTGCGCGCCCATCACTTTTTCAGGATTTCTTCGAAGGTACCTTCGTAATTTGGACGGCTTTTCTGTTGCACCAATTTTGGTACCAGTTGAACTGGACTTTATCAGCTTCTTGCTCTTGAGAAGGGAACAGAATATTAAGAATCTCGAGGAAGAAGCTGCATCAGATCTACTTCGGACGCCTATCTGGACTGCTTAAGGAACCATCGGCGCCATTTCATTTCTATGCTGAGCGTCTGTGGTTGCTAAGCTGGATGGGAAGTGTTGCAGTAGGTAAGTAGTGGGGATTTTGAGCGTCTTCAAATCTTAGAGGGTGTGTAGAGGTTCCTCCTGAGCTTAATTCTACACAGGAAGTTGGCCTGAGGTAACATTTGAGTTTCTCATTCCTGTTCAAAGAAAGTTGCACATCGCTGCTGTCGGAGCAAAACCATGTATCTCCATTTTTGTCATTTTTCAGGTTTCGACATAGTTTGAAAATACCTGTCGTGCTTTACATTGTGTGTAAATTACATGATGAATGGTTACCATTGTGGAGATACGAGGTTTTGTTCTGAGAACAGTGACATGCTTTATAGAAGAAGATGGAACATTTTAGCAGGTTCATATTTGACTGTAGAACATTTTTGTTGAATTATTTTTCACTCATAACTCATTGAAACAAGCTGAAAGATTCAATTCATACCAAATTTGTGTTCGTAACTAGGAAAGGAAATATTTTATCATGATTTGAATTTGATGACATTTTTTATGTTTTTGTTTTGTCATCAGAAAAAGGACTTTTGTACACAGAACATACTTTAAATGAACATGTACTTAATTACATAACCCTGTGTTTATTTATATAATTACATTTTCATAAATACATGCTATGGTAAATTAGTACATTGTATGTCCAAAAGTATCCAGACACCCCTTTTAAATAGCAAATCCAGAAACTTTAAGGTGCACCCATTGCTGCTTTAGCTTGTATAATCTCCATAGAAAATGGGATCCTCTGGAGCAGCCTGTGGTCACCATGCCCAATGCCAAATGTGGGCTAGAGGGGTATAAAGCCCCCCAGCGTTGGGCTGTGGAGCAGTGGAACTGCGTTCTCTGGGGTGATTGAGCTCCATCTAATACCTTTGGGATGAGTTGGAGTGATACAGACCTGATAATCCAACATCAGTACCTGACCTCACTAATGCTCAATCAAATCCTCACAGCAATGTTCCAACATCTAGTGTAAAGCCTTCTCAGAAGAGTAGAGGCTGTTACTGCAGCAAAGGAGGACAAACTCACTATTAATACCCTTCATTTCAGAAGAAGTCTTTGATGAGCTGAATGAGGAGTTAGTTTTGGGTTGGAGGTGAAACCTGCTGGAAGGTGGATCTCCAGGAGGAGGGTTTGGTGACCACTGATCTAAATGGAACGTACAGCAAAACAGCAGCTCCAGACGTCTGATGCTTAAGCTTGGCACCATTGTGGAGCACCAGCAGCACTGCAGAGTGAACCGCTTGCTGAAAGGTGTTGAAGCTCAGCTTGTATGCTGAATGGTGAAGTGCCTGAAGGCTCTATAAAATCCCTAGAAGCCTTCGGAGCAGCAGCGATGTTGCTGGAATGCCGATGGCGTCAGTGGCTTTGGCGGGGCCTGCCGCTCTCCCCTCGTTTATTTTTTCTGCACCGGGTTTGACAGGAAGTTTATTGTGGGCGCTGATTATAGCATATTTGCACTCATGTTTTCGCCCCTCTCCATCTCCACTGTCACGGTGTTTAGACCCAGCACAGGAAACACTTTGGGAGATTTGAGACCCAACCATGCACTCAGGCCTCCTCAGTCTGCTGGTTCTGATTCACTTCTGACGTTTTGAAGTGCTTTTTATATACGGCTCCCAACTCGCGCAGTTTCAGGAGTAATCATTCTCATTGTGTTTTTAAACCTCTTAAACTCTAAGGGTCTGTGTGAGAGCCCCCCGCTTCAGCTCAGTTTTATAACTGCAGAACGTACACATTAGTTTATAGTAGTTACCGGATAATTTATGGAACAGTACTGAGCAAAATCGGAGATTTCATTTCCAGTCCAAACAGCCATTAACCCCATAAATGGCTCCCACCAGTGGGCCCAAAGTTTTATTACACACCTCTGAAACCTCAGAATAGCGCAGCCAACTTTGCATTGAAGTCACTGTAGTTACTGAATAGTATGCCTTAGTATGTAATAAGCCTGAGATTTTAAGGGGTGAAGTACAAGTTATTTTTTCAGGAGATATTTCTGAGGAGATTAGGTTGTATATAAGATAATCCACTTGCATTTCCAAAACTTCAGAAAATGATTAGAAGCTACAGAGAAATAGGGCTCCTGACAACCACCTGG